TTTATTGCTTCGTTCCGGTGCATATTGCTAATATTATTAAGGCTGTGAATTACATTAATCTCGGCCATTGAAAACAAAAGTTTTGAAACTTCTTTGTAAAATGGTTCGGATCATACATTTATTGCTACACACAAGTAAGCAGTGGCTATCACGGGTCAATGTTTAATCGAGTTATTATGTTGAAGAATAAGGAATTATTTTTGAAAGAAAATTCTCCAGTATACAAAATTTTCGAAATGAAAAGCTGGTGTTATATTTGTATACTTGGCTGAATATGTTAAAAACTAAATGATCTGAATGCGTCAATGTACAAGGACGTCAGGAAACAATTTTCTTCGACGAACAAAATCAGAGGTTCAAAACAAAATTGTATTTTGAGAAGTCTTCAATAATTAAAGGGATTTTCAAATTTTCCAAATTAAGCGATAGTTAAATCCAATATTAAAGAACTACAACAACATAATTGAACATCATATTACTCGAAGAAAAATTGAACATTATTTTCCATCATTGACAACATCTGCGAGTGGGTGGTGTTAGCATTTGATTTTACACGGGACAATATGAATGACTGATCTTACTAATGCCGCAAAAAGAATGAATTCATTGATATGTGTTCTAGTTCTATCATCCGAATATTATTTATGGTCAGAAAAGACATGATTCCTTCTGGTTAGAATTTAGATTCACGATATCCATCTATTTCTAGAAAGCGATACTAGTGTTATTACCATTTCTACATCGTATCTTGTACAGGCATTTTCTGCTCCGAACAATATAAAACAAGTAGTAGAAATCGTTTGAAAAATGTTGAACCTGATTTGTGTCTTGCTGTTTCAGCTGTTTCACCCCGAATAGAGATTTGTGTAAAAATATCGCTCAAATATCACATTAATTTGTATCATTCAAATATTAAACATCTGATGGGCGCAACTAATGAAAGATCTTGAAAAGGCTTAAATCGCTCTGGCTGATCGCCCTGACAAAAGCCACCCTAACGGCCGAAAGGCTACTGATGGGTGGAGAGCATGACACTCTCGACGACCCATTAAAGGGTTGCCTGCGGGCTCAGTTCGGTCCCGACCTCTGAGTCGCGGTCAACCCGCTCTTGTCCGGCGATCTTCCCAGACGGGAATAGTCACTGCGGACGATCTCGCCTCACTTCATCTCGGAGAAACACCGTCCGAGCTCATCGAACGCGGAACGCGCGACTGCAGAAATAGCGTCGAGATGGGCCTTATCGGATTGGAATAACCTAATCCTTCTCGGGCTAAGTCGCAGACCTTGTGGATCAAGGGCCAATAAGTAGCCTTGACTTGTGACTTGGTGGGACAAGGTGAAAATGACCCCGAGGCAAGAAATACCTCGGGGTCACGTTTTTGACCCGACAAAAGGAAGTTTAGCCCCATCTGGCGGAAAAGGCCGGTCCTCGGTAGGCGCTATTCAGTCGACTAATATCTGTGGCTAAGGAATGTTGGGCCTTAAAGAAGGACGACAAGGATCTGTACAAATCGGTGTTCTCTGCCGCGCTTGGGTTATGCGGCTGGCTGCGGTGACGCGTATACCACGTCGACGATGGCGCTCCAGGTCCTACCGGAGTACCTCCTCGACTGAACCTAGTTCGGCTGGCTAAGATCGAACGGGACAAGAACCCGAGTAATGAGGAAGAAAGTTGGCGTCAGAAGCTTGCGAAAGGCGAAACAGTATTACGACACTACCATACGCCCTCGGCAGAAAGATGGGTCGCCAGCTGACAAGGTAAGGCGGACGGATTTGCTCCCGACAAGTCCGGCTGCAGTACTCGAAGGCCGTGTGTCGTTCCTACCACTACATCTCGCAGTTCGTGACCGACGGAATTCACTTCGTCGCTCTTGTTTCAACTTCGAGGCGGGCACGTAGCGATGCGGTCTCCAGGACGCGTGATGTGCTCTCGAGTGCCCATCATATGCCAGGAAAGAAACAAGCCGTAGCCGCGCGCAAGCGGAAGGTGTGGACTGGCCGTGCATCTGCGATACCATGACCTCCACGGAGGCCATGTTCCTTACTCAAAACTTACCGGGAAGTCCTAGAACACGTCAAAGATGTAGGGCGACCCGCGGGCAGACCAGACCCTACATTTAAACCAAGCGGTCGGCGTGTGGCCGAGAGACGGCGTTAAACATGCACTACTGCAGACATGGGAGACGTCTCCCTATCGTGGGAACAAATCGTCCGAGTGGGTCAGCCGGAACGTACCGTCGCTGTCATCGATGGCGGCGGGCGAAGCCTGCGAAGTACCGTAGTGGCAGGCGCAAGCTGACCCGATAGCGGATCAAAGGTCCTGAGATTCGCGCGCCCACAGGATCGTCGAACGCCCTCCGTACTAAGACCCGCCTACGGGAACGAGGGACGCGATACCTGGCGGGACGGACGAATGCCCGGTCTTCTCTAAACGGACGGAGTGGAAATTCGTGGGGACGGGGTGCCCTCGCTCTAGAACTATCTCTGCCTCAGAACCGAGCTCGGTAGAGGGCCAGACCACCCGTCGGGCGAGCAAACGTGCATTCAGCCGGCTCAGGACCTTGATAGAGGCACCGGCGAAACGGCAATCTGTGATAAAGATCAAACCAAGACGTCTATAAGAGTCCGCGGCACTACACAGCGTGCCCTGACCGACTTGCTTGCGACAGCTGACGCGTTGCGGGGTTCGAACGCCGGGTTCAAACTTTGTACCACGGGACTTGGAGTAGCCCGTCGGTCGGTACAATATGCGCCCGACGCTCGAGGGTGCTGGACCCGAGGCACGACGCGTGACTCACCGAGGATCGCCTCGCCCACACCGGGAAAGGCACCGGAGGAAGGAACCGTGGTGGTTGTGGATACACCGCCTTGGTAGACGGCTTTGACTCGGCGATAATCCGTCGGGTTTGGCCGCGGCGGTCACCTCTATGGCGCCCGGGTGAGAGGCGGCGCCCGGTGCAGGACTTCTGAGTCCATCTGGACCTACGCGAAGAGCAACCGCGGTTACATAAAGGGCTGAGTGTCTCCGGGGCAACCTGGAAGAACTGGTCGACCCCGCAACACACGGAAAGATGCTCCATCATTGCAGCTGCTTCACCATGTGTTGGGCCCGTTGATTGATCTGTACCATCATCTTCATCTTCTGAACTGTCAACTTCTATTTCTATGTTTTCAATACATGCATTTACGATTTCATCATCACTAAGAACCTGATGACCAACATCAGTGTCACCGTTTATCCATTCAGAAATATCATTTGATTCCACCTCGGCGCAACCTTCCAACTCTTGAAAAACTTTAATGAAATCAATGTCTTCATTTGAAGTTGTTTCATCTCGTCTATAGTTTTCTTGAGGAATATTAGGCCACAATTTTTTCCAACTTTTTTGAAGTGTTTCTGGCTTAACTTCTTCCCATGCTTCTGCGGCTAAATAAAGAACAGTTTTTATTGTTACTTTTTTTAAAAGATCCATAAAGTTAACTAACGGGTTCGCTTCTTGTTGCTCTAAAAGAAACATGATCAACTTTTTTCTGTAAAGCCGTTTTGTCGTTTCAATAACACCTTGATCCATTGGTCATATCAATGCCGTCACGTTAGGTGGCAAAAATTTCACATATATTTCACCATCTCGTAATTCGTTTTCACTAGGGTGACACAGAGCATTATCTATAAACAATACAGCTTTTTCTGGAAGTTTTTTCTGTTTCAAAAATGTTCTTGTTGTAGGCACAAATGTTTCAAAAAACCAAGTTTTAAAAATGTTTCCGTTCATCCAAGCAGATTTTTGTGAAGTGTATTGAGCTGGAAGTGCACTCATATTAACGTTTTTGAAAGCTCTAGGCTTAGCTGATTTTCCGATCACCAAAAGTTGAAATTTTAAATTACCATAAGCGTTACTGCAAGGAAGTAAAGTTACTCGTTCTTTTTTCACTTTATGTCCTTTGGCTACAGAATCTAGTTTTGAGGCTAATGTTTTTTTTGGAAGCATTTTGTAATTCAACCCAGTTTCGTCAGCATTAAATATTTGGCAAGGCATTAAGTCTTCATCGTTAATAAACTTTTCAAATTTCGTTTTAAAGTCTTCACTTGCAACATTGTCACCTGATAAAATCTCACCACTTACACCAAGTTCACGAATGCCATGTCGATTTTTCCACCGAGACAACCATCCTACACTAGCAACAAAAGTAGGATCTCCTTTTAATTTTTCATTAAATTTTATCGCGATAGCTTGTAACGTAACACCCGACAACGGAACTCCTTGTTCACGTTGTTGACAAAACCAAATGTACAAAGCCTCGTCTAAAGCTTCGTTGTTTGGTTTTCTTAATGTGCGTCTGTTACCTAAGCTGTCCGCGCTCACCATTTTCGCACAAAAATTTTCAATTTCTATTCGTTTTTTTTTCCAATCCGAAACGGTTTGCTTACCCACTCCTAACTCTTGCGCGATTTTTTTTAATGATTCACCAGCATCTATACGAAATAAAGCTTGAAGTTTTTGTTCCATTGTTACAGTCACTTTCTTACGTTTAACTAAAGTTGTTATTTTATGTTGTTTTTATAATAAGCAGAGGAAAAAATAAACGCAACGGTCTACACTGGTACACAATCACCACTAAACGAAATAATATCACAATACCTATGTACCTAATCGAAACGATTATACATACCTTTATTATGAGTATTCCTGAATATTAGCAAAAAATATCACAAATCACAATATATAATCGAAACGATAATATCTTAATTATGGGTATTCCCGAATATATATATATTATACACGAGTACTAAATACGAAACATACATTGTCCGGATTATCCGGATGTCCGCATTAGCGATGACCGGATTAGCGGGACTCTACTGTATTTTGAATATTTTGATGAAATAACAACGAAAATTAACAAATATTATCATTTTATTCTTATTATTTTTTCTACTTCACGAATCATTTCATTATTTTCGTTGTTGTTATTAACTATTGTCTATTACAATAAATTATAATTCATAATAAAAATAAAAAATAGTATTAGTTGTTTAAAAAAAAGTCGTGTTCATATTGCCCGGGCAGGACCACATTGACCGGTATTCCACATTTTCTGTAACAGATCTATATACATTTACATATTATACTATATTAACTTACGTTATAATTAATTAAAAATATTTTTCTAAGCTGAGTAATAATTAATGTATTGGTTTTCCAATGATGTATGTGCTTTTATAAAATTAATTTTTAGTACTTGTGTGTGTAGGAGGGGGAGAAGACAATATTTAGTGTATAGCAGAGTAACATTTTAAATAATATTTTTATAATTTTCATTTTTAGGCGATGGAGACAGTAGTGTCGTAAAACGACTAAATGAGGTTTTACCATATGGCCCTAGATTCATGATACAGAAAATCGAATGTTGAAACCACTTGTTACGCAATTACATTACTAAACTTAAAATGGTCGCAACAAAAACTGAGTATCCAGTTACTATCAGAAAGTTTGTAGTGACTAATATTTTAAGATTCAGATCTGATGTAACTAAAGCAATTACTTATCACAAAAACATATTGGATAAATCAATGATTCAGAAAATTGCAGATAATTCAATTTGTGTAGGCGTTTTTTTAAAATTAATCTTACTATCGTTACAAAACTTGTTCGCAGACCTTAAAAAAGATTTAAAGAATGCACCCTATCATAGATTTGGACAACACCAAGAATGTAATTCATATTTTTGTAAAGGGTCAAAAATACGTAGTGAAATCAACATGGTACCGGAAGCATTAAGATGTGGTATTTTACTAGAAATAGACAAAATTATGTCTCGTTTAGTAAATAATAGCTCTATACTCCGTTTCAAAAGAAAAGACACCGGGCGGCGACCAGTTTCCGTTCGGCGGCGCGCATCCTCCACTTTGTCCCAGGGAACCACTTGTTTGATTAGCATGGTTGCTAGCGCTCCTAACCGTTGATAAATATTTGACTGGTCGTTATACCGAACGATTCAAATTCCAATCTTTTTTGTGTATCATTTGTAATATCCTGTTTACACGCAGCACACCGTCACTAGCAAACGCTCAGTACCTAAATTGCATTTGATTTCTCATTATTATTTTTTTTTAATTTTATTTTATTTACCGAAGAAGAAATGGCTGGAGTAGAATTTTCATCGCCGGTTAAACGAAATATCAAAGGAAAGGTATGTATATTTTTTTAACTTGAATCAATTATTTAAGAAAATGAATATCGACTATTTCATAGAAGCCGTAAAGTAACAAATATTCAAATTTAAAAACGTGACATAATATAAGAAATTTAATTAAATTTTGAAAAACAGTCGATTAAAAAATGAATTTCATGCGGTTTAAGTTATTAGTTGAATCAAGGGTTGATTATAAGCCTTATATAAAATATATTAAATTTTATAATCAAAAATACGAAACATAACATGAAAAAACAAATTACTAATACTTAAACTATATTCATTTCATTAACAAAATTAAATAAAAAGTAAACCGAATACTACTTCTTTACCAATTAAAAAATTTAACGCTTTATACTATAACATCTATTACAAAGATTTAGTTAAAGAAATATTTATAAAACTGTTGAACAAGATACTGATACCCACTTTTTTCTATAAAAAAGTATTTTGTAACTGTAACTAATTTATACACCTACGTATAACATTTATTTTATATTAAAGTGTTTTTCTGTGATATACATGAGACACGTATAAAATATTTTTTTTCAAGGATATTGAACACAAAAACGTATTACCATGTGGTAAACCGATATGTTCTATTGTTTCCTTATAATATGAGTCGTTTTGTATCCATATAAGGACATACCAACTGTGCCCAAATGACCTTTTTTTTGTAAACTGTGCATCTGTGTCTGAAACTTATTTCAATATAGGTATACAGCATTTTAATTCACTACGTTATCTTTTATGCATTGGCGTATATAGTGGGGGGGGTTAGGGGTTCTACTCCCCCGAAATATATGATTGGTATTGGCCTTGATTTTGATTGTTATAATATTATGTCATATTATTTAATATTATTATTATTATTATTATTATTATGTCAGGATTTCTATGAAATACTACAAGATAACGACGCGTCGTAAGTCGTGACGGACCGCTGCGAGTCGTCGACGGTCTATATACATATAAAATATATAGTTAGTATAGAAGTGTGTGTTCAATATACGACGATAATCTAAAGACGAAATTATCGATATTATTATTTCTTATTATTTGGTTGTTAATTATTATGAAGAACCAGACAAACAAAATTTAGTTTGTTTTCGGACGTCAGTTGTTTCGTTAAGTGTCGCGTGTGTAACAAAATATTAATTATTAAATATGGCATCACAACCTTCATTATTACATTTTTTTAATAAAAAAGTAGCTGTGACTGAGCCTGAAAAACATGATGATAATCCTTGTTCATCCACTACTATCAATAATAGCAAAATTGATAGTAATACTGATTTAAATGAATTAAATGAAATTCTTGATATTGGTTTATATATTAATACAAGAATATCTGACAACAAGTTGAAATATGATTTATTGAAAAAACCATGGCAGCCTCCTACGTCATACAACTTTCCGGTAATTTCAAAAAGAAAATTAAAATTTCAATTATCTTGGATCACACATTTCTCCTGGTTAGTATATTCTAAAAAATTAGAAGGCGCGTTTATTAAAATGTATGTACTATTTGCAAACGAAACATTTGGGAAAGGCAGCTCTGCAAAAGCTGGTTTATTAGTTAATAAGCCATTTATTAAATGGAAAAATGCTATTGAATATTTTAAAACACATTCAAATGCTGATTATCATAAATTATCAACGTTAAGAGCTGAAGAGTTTGTTAAAATAGTAGAAAATAAAACTTTTGATGTAGCTACACAAGTAGATGCGTTTAGAAAAGCCCAGGTTATCGAAAATCGTCTAAAATTAATTTCAATAATTGAAACAATAATTTTTTGTGGTCGTCAATCAAGAGCTAGCCATGAGAGGTCATGACGATAGTGGGCCTATTTTTAACTGTGAAAAAGATAACAATGATGGCAACTTTTGATCTCTGTTAAGATTCCGAGCTTTAAGTGGTGATTTAACACTAAAAAATTATTTAATGAATTCGTCGGGAAAATCAATTTATATAAGTCCTATGATATAAAACGAAATAATACAAATATGCGGCTCTCTTATTCAAAAAGAAATTGTGTTGAAAATAAACCAAGCAAAATTTTTTACTATTTTGGCAGATGAAACGTGTGATATATCTCGTATCGAACAAATGTCTTTGTGCGTAAGATATATTGATAATGGTTGTATTAAAGAAAACTTTTTAGCATTTCTTCCTATTTATGATGTTAGTGGAAAAGGTATGGCATGTACAATTATTCGAGAAATAGGAAAATTGGGAATTAAAATAGAAAATTTAATCGGTCAGGGTTACGATGGGGCGAGTGCAATGAGTGGGTTGTATAATGGTGTCCAAAAGCATATTAGAGATAAAATACCACATGCGCTTTATGTTCACTGCGCGGCTCATTCGCTTAAA